CCTGAACTACTATGCATTTATGGAGTTTTATAATTATGAAGTCTATGGAACAACAAAGAAATGCATATGAATTTTAGAATAGACTTTAAGAAAACTGGCTATGATGATGTCTATAAATATGCATATAGACAAGGAAAAAAGAGAACATGGAAAATAAAAACTTCATATGCTCAAATTTGATGAGGGATTAAGGATTTTTTCCTTGAGTATTTCCTTTATTACTTCAGTAAGTTTTACTCAATAAATAGGAGGAGTAGGTGTGAAACTCCCTTGTAACCTAACTTGGGTGCTGTGCTGTGTCCTGTGCTTCCTTGCAGTGGGATCCAGCAGCTCAGGAGGCTCCTTGTGCTCTGCCACTGGCCGTGTGTGTGTGGGCTCCCCACCTGGGCCAGGCTTGGGCTCTTCCCCACCGGGAGCAGAGGCAGCTCCCAGCCTGAGATACGTGCCTTATAGTGCTTCGGCCCCCAGCCTAGAGGGGCTCATTACCTTTGAAGCCCCTGAACTGCCGGAGGAGACACTGATGGAGGTAGAGGAGACTCTAGTAGAATATTAATGTAATATTGATGTAACATAAATTTTCTAGTGATGATATAAGAGCTAAATACATTTGAATAGCTCCACATTTTTCTCTTTATTTAAAAAAATATTACTGGTGTATTTTTAAAATCACATTGATGGTGACATTCATAGAAATGTTTGGTTCATGGGAAATGACATATATATATTATGTTTCCTTAAATTTTTTTATTCAAAGCTTTACTATTTGTAGGGGTTTTGTTTGTTTGTTTATTTGTTTGTTTTAGGATTTTAAAAGCATAATCTTACCTTAAAATCACCTTTTTATTTTCAAGATTTTCTCCACAAAGTAAAAATAATGTACTTACATCTAAGTTTAGAAGTAATATACCATGGGCTGGCGATTTAGCTCAGTGGTTCCGCTGCCAGCCTCGCAAGGACAAGGTCCTGAGTTTGATCATAATGCCAGTTTAGCTGAAAAGACTGTATACTTATGTTTGTATATCAGACCTTTCCCCTCATTGGATCCAGTTCTATAGGAAAAAACACATTGCACATAACCTGAAGCATGCTGAGCACAAATGTAGAACCAGAGAATTTCATTTTATTATGATTTCAGAGCTGTGCCTGTTCAGCTCCTTACTCTTGACCCAAGGACAACACTCAGTGGAGTAATGCATTGAGTCCCTGATTCTTGAATGTTAAACTTAGCCTGAGGTTTCAATTAAAATGATGAGCTCTCTAGGCCAAAAGAAGAACAAATTCTCCATGTGAGACCTAACATTTCTACTTTATGCATGCAAAATTCAGGTAGTCATTTTGTAGTAATTTAGTACCAATTCCCAAAATTCATCTAATCCAATCTAAAATTGCAAAACTCATTCTTGACTTTTTTCAGTCTCCT